CGTCAAACCTTTTTTCAAAGTTCCTAGTTTCTTTACGTTGGGCTACAACATGTCCTTTTAACTCGCAGCAGTTTCTTACTATCCATTCCCTGAAGCGTGATTCTGTTATTGGGATGCACTCATTCTCCATCAAGCCTTGTTCCATTGTTGATGTGGAACTGTGATCATCTTTAGAGGGAGAGGCCTTCTGATTTTGAGTATTCTCAGCCTTTTTATGCTGGTTTCTTCCCATCATTGTAAATTTATCCTCCTGTCATCTTTGAAATTACCAACTTTCAGACTAGGTCTCTTGAGTGGACATCCAAGTTGTTAGTTCCCAGGGCCAGAACAGCGGCATTAAGACTGATGGTGCTTTTCTGCCCAGGATTCTCCTGTCTGGCTTCCTTCTTGTGTCCATAATAGGCGACTCTGCCTGCTCAGGGCGCCAAACCTCGGTCAGAAGGGGAACCAGTCTCGTTTACTCTGCGCTGAGAGCTGCCACGCCGAGATGCCATCACAGCTGCTGCGCCAGCCTCAGGAGTCGTGCTGGGGACCCCTGTGGGTCCTCCAAACCTCGGTCAGAAGGGGAGCCAGCCCTGTTTACTCTGCTCCGAGAGCTGCCGCACTGAGGTGCCAGGCAAACTGCTGCGCCGGCCACAAGAGTTGCACTGGCGACCCGTGTGACTCCTCCACTGGGGATCTTCTGCTCTGTGAGCGACCAGAATTTGTCTGAAAGTGTGGCATCCTCTAGTTCTCTGCGCTTTCACTGAGAGCTGCAATCCCGAGATGTTAGCGATTGGCCATCTTGGATCTAAACCACTTCCTAATTCTTATATGGTTCTGGTGGGACTGTTAACCACAGTATGCTGTACCCCTAACCATAGATCTTGCCCTGGTCATAGTCACTGCTCCAATCATGAGCATGTGACCCAGGTCAAGCCAATCAGAGTCCTTCCCCTGTAATTTATTTATTTAGACAGGGTCTTGCTCTGTCACCCAGGATAGAGTGCAGTAGGGCAATCAGGGCTCACTGCAGCCTCAACCTCCTGAGCTCAAGCAATCCTCCCACCTCAGCATCCTGAGTAGCTGGAACTACAGGCATGCACTACCACGCCAGGCTAATTTTTAAAATTTTTGTACAGACGGGGTCTTGTTGTGTTGGCCAGGGCTGGTCTCAAACTCCTGGGCGCAAATGATCCTCCCATCTTGGCCTCCGAAAGTGCTGAGATTATTAAGCCTAAACCACTGTGCTGAGCCCCCTGGGATTTGTTGTATGGGGTTGGAAAGCATTGTCTTTCCTCTGGAGTTCCTAAACTGGAATTATGTCAGCCCAGAGCTCCCTGTGCTATACCAACTTGACACAGAGTAGAGTCAACAGTGGGAGGAAGAGGCTGAAGATACTGCTGGAATCCTTGGATCCAGCTAACTGAGGCCAGCTCTGTATGTGTTAGGCTAGAATTAAGCCTGGCTTGGATTTTTTTTTCCAGTAGCCTTGAAAAACTTTCCAGAATCTGACTTATTGGCTTCTGTCACTAGAACAAACTAATAAATACTCTGTTCTTCTCTGTCCTCTAGTTCTGTAGTTAATTTTTGATCCCAAATGAAAGATTTCACATTTCTCTGTATTATGTTTCATACTTTGTCCCATCCCTCCAGTCTAGAAAGATTTTAGAATTGTCTCCTTTCCTGTGCACACATACACACATACACAATTCCTCTCACCCACCTATAACTTTGCTTCCTCCTTCCCCACTTACCTGCTAAAGAACTAATTTTTAAAAGTGGATTAGGTCAACATGAAGGGAAAAGAGAGTCAGTTTGGGAAAAGAAAACCTTTACTTTAGGGCAGTATGTGACACAACACTTGGGACAGAGGAGGTGGAGAGAATGGAGGGAGATGCATCTCTCTGCCACATGTTGACTAACGGGAACAGTACATTGAGGGCTTACTTAGAAAAGCCTGGGGCTGGAGGCTAGGGAATCCAGGAGCAGAGCCTCACTACTGCTCTACTCTGCGCTGTACGAGGTGGTGTAGGGTAGCAGCAGAGAGCACAAGCACTGGAGAGCTAGGCTTGGCTCTCCATCCTGGCACCTCCACCTGCTAACCACCCACTACTACCTGCTGAGAGCCTGCAGCTCCCAAGACAGACACTCAGGTGAAACTTCCCTCCACCCAGTGACCAAGCCCCCAGGTTCTCCTTGCAAATGCCCCACTCCTCCCTAGCCTTGCCCCACACCTCATTCTAAAAGATAGTTATTTAAGAGATAACTATTATCTCTTAAAGATTTATTTTGCCCTATTCTCTCTCTCCTCACCTTGAGACTGGAATCACATGTATATTAGACTGTTACCGTCCCATAGCTCTTACAGGTTTTGCTTTCTTGTTTTGCTTTTCCCCCATCCCATTTTCTCTTTGTGTTTTAGTTCAGAGGATTTTTATTGACCTATGTTCAAGTTCACTGGTTCTTCACCTATGCCTACCTACTGAAAGCCTGTGGAATCAATTCATTTCTAATATCATGTTTTTTATTTCTAGCATTTCCATTAGAGTTTTTCTTTTCCTTTCTTTTTTTTTTTTTTTTTTTTTCTGAGACAGGGTCTCACCCTGTTGCCCAGGGCTGGAGGGCAGTGGTGTGACCTTATCCTGGCTCACTGCAACCTCCGCCTCCTGGGTTCAAGCAATTCTCTTGCCTCAGACTCCCAAGTAGCTTGGCCCACAGGTGTGAGCCACCATCCCTGGCTAATTTCTGTCCTTTTTGGTGAGATGGGGTCCCATGTTGCCCACGCTGGTCTCAAACTCCTGTGCTCGTGCACTCCTCCTGCCTTGGCCTCCCAAAGTGCTGGTATTACAGGCATGAGCCACCAGGCCCAGCCTCATTTTACTTTCTCTTAGTTTCCATGTCTCTGCCAAAATTCCCCATCTGTTCATGCAAGTTGCCCACCTTTCCCCACTATACTGCATAGTAATTATAATTATTTTAATTCCCTGTCTGATAGTTCCAATATCTGTGTCATCTGTGAGTCTGGTTCTGCTGATTCATTTGAGAATGGATTGTTTTTTTTTTTTTCTTGCCTTTTTGTGTTTTGCCAAAAAAAAAATTTTTTTGAGACAGAGTCTTGCTCTGTTGCCCAGGCTGGAGTACAGTGGGGCCATCTCCGCTCACTGCAACCACAGCCTCCCAGGTTCAAGCAATTCTCCTGCCTCAGCCTCTGGAGTAGCTGGGATTACAGGCACATACCACCATACCTAGGTAATTTTGTATTTTTCGTAGAGACAGGGTTTCACCATGTTGACCAGGCTGGTCTCAAACTCCTGACCTCAGATTATCCACCTGCCTCAGCCTACCAAACTGTTGGGATTGCAGGCGTGAGCCACAGGGCCCCACCTGTATTTTGCAATTTTTAAACTAAATGCCCATGGTGTACAGAGCAGCAGAGACTGAGGTAAATAGTATCTGTGTCTGGGAGTGGGCCTGCCTTTTCCGTCAGCTCGTTGGTCTGGGGGGTTGAGTCAGCCTTCTTAGGAGTCGGGCAGGGTTTGAGTTTGGTTGTGCTCTCATTAACTTCAGTGTACCACAGATTTTAAATTCCTTTAGGGTTGGGCTGCTTAGAGTGAGGACTGGGGTGTTAGGGCTTCCTCAGTGTTGCTGTCCCACCCTCATCTTTTCAGCCAAAAGGAGACTTCTGTTGCTTGTGATCTGGTACCAGGCTCAGGCAGGGCAGAGCAGGGTTGATTCTGTTATCCTGGCCCAGCATCAGTCTTAAACAGGTCCTAGGCAACTGAAATTCAGCAGTGGGCTTTCTCCATGTTTCTGCTCTTCTTCCCCCGGGCAGCCGAACTCTGCCTTACACCTGTGGTCCATCTGGTGTTGGCCAGAGTTCTTGTCCTCCCCACAACGAGTGGACCTTTGCTTGAATCCTCAGGCCAGGGCAGTTTCCTGCTTCTGCCCCTAGGTAGGAGGTTTCTGCTTCTAGTCCCAGGACCAATGGGTCTTTGCGTGTGTTCAAGAAGGGCACAGCCGGGCGTGGTGGCTCACACCTGTAATCCCAGCACTTTGGGAGGCCGAGGTGGGTGGATCACAAGGTCAAGAGATTGAGACCATCCTGGTCAACATGGTGAAACCCCGTCTCTACTAAAAATACAAAAAATTAGCTGGGCATGGTGGCGTGTGCCTGTAATCCCAGCTACTCAGGAGGCTGAGGCAGGAGAATTGCCTGAACCCAGGAGGCAGAGGGTGCAGTGAGCCGAGATCGCGCCATTGCACTCCAGCCTGGGTAACAAGAGTGAAACTCCGTCTCAAAAAAAGAAAGAGAAAGAAAAAGAAGGGCAAGAAGGTCTGACACCTCACCAGAAGCAGCTAAGTTTTGCTTTTATTTCCCCCAACTGAAGCAATAGTTTGTTACCCCTCCCCCAGTGGATTAAGGCTTTTGCTTAAAGGAGAAGATTGTGGAAGTTGAGGCTTTTTGCTTTCCACCAGCAGCCGCACGCATGCGTCACCAAGGAAGAAGAATCCCTCCATCGCCTACCGTGCTCCCACTTTTGCCATGAACCCCAGGGGAAGCCTGTAGAAGAAAAGTTGCCTTCCTGTGCAGACTCCCCTGTATTTGTTAACATTTTTGTAGTTTTTTTCTTACCCACTTGTAATGACAGCCACATCTTTGCCAAAGTTGAAACAGTTGATCTGCCACTATCTCTCCTTGGAGGACTTTATTTGGTTGCTTTGTGACCTTGGCTTTCTGATGGGCTCAAGAAAAGTTATAATTTTGTACCTGGCTTTTTCACATTGTTAGGATGGGAGGGATATTTTCTTGCAGTATTCTACATCCTAAGTGGAAAAAGTTCTCAAGTACTATTACCTCTTTCTTAGACAACTGCAGCCACCTCATAGCTGGTCTCCTGCAACCATCACAAACTAGAGGGGGCTGCAAAATAAAATACTTAAAAATAGCTACTTAAAACCTGACACTTAGCTTATGGTGCATTGGTTATCTATTGCTGAATAACAAATCAACCCAAAACTTACTGGCTTAAACCATGACATTTATTTTGTTCATGAATCTGTAGGTCTTTGCAGAAATAGCTTGTTTCTGTACCACCTGATGTCATCTGGGACAGCTTAAAAGCTAGGGGATTAAATCATTTGAATCACTTACTTATATGTCTGATGCCTGGGGTGGGAAGACTCAAACAGCTGGGACTCCCTGGTCTTCTCTTGCTCTCTGTGGCCGACTTCTTACATGCTGGCTCAGAATTATCAAGGAGCATGGTGAGAGATAGAGACCCCGGGTGGAGTGCTTTCATGACCTTGCCTCAGAAGTCCCATTATTTGTGCTGTACTCTATTAGCAAGGTAGTTACATAGGTCTTCCCACGTTCAAAGGGAGGGAATATTGACCCAACATTTCAGTCGAGGCGTGTCCGCACCATACTGGAACATGAATGTGTGGGATGGGATACACTGATTTGGCCATTTTTGGAAAATACAATCTGCCATACATGATTGTGCTTGTTCTGCAGCAGTGAAAAAATAACAAAAATTGAAATAGAAAATAAAAACCATTTCATGTAGACATGTATCACTGCCAAGTGTGAATAACTTGTCCACCCTCAATCACTTTAATTATGGCAAACCCCTGGCAGCCATAAACTTCTAGATATAAATCTCATCTTGTCACTGCCCCTCTTAAAATCAGCCATTAGCTCCCTGTTCTCCCACAATAAACTCCTAACTCCTTAACATGGTTTATAAAAACCCTTCACACCTGGCCTTGTTTATTCATTTCCACCCTCACCTCTTGTCTGTCCCTCCTTTGTTCTTTATGCTCCAGCTACACTGAACTACCTTCCATCCTCCAAGTTTTCTTTTGCCTTTAGGCCTTTGTACACGCTGTTTTCCTTCTGGGACTCCTCTTGGTCCCCACGCTCTTACTCTTCTATTTCCTCTCATTCCTATTCATTTCTATGGACTCAGCTCCCTAACACAGCCTCTTTCCTACCCCACCCCAACTAGTCTAGGGCTCTCATATCTCCTTCCCACATGCTCTCAAAGCACCTCGGCTTACGCCTTCCACCGAATTAATGAGGTTGGCTCTATTCCCCTTCCATCATTCTATGTGGGAAGATGCTGTTCTGCTTTATTTAACACCTTGCACAGTGCCTGGAGCATGGCAGGGGCTCAACCAATATTGTTTAGGTGAATGAATCTCTGCCCTAAACAACCTATTCCTGGGTTCCAGTAAACAGCCCTCGAACAAACCTAAGATGGCAATGGCAGTATTCTATCTTGAGTCTTTTTTTTTTTTTTTGACACAAAGTCTCACTCTTGCACCCAGGCTGGAGTGCAGTGGTGCAGTCTTGGCTCACTTGGCTCACTACAACCTCCATCTCCCGGGTTCAACCAATTCTCCTGCCTCAGCCTCCCGAGTAGCTGGGATTACAGGTGCCTGACACCATGCCTGGCTTTTGTATTTTTAGTAGAGAAGGGGTTTCACCATGTTGGTCAGGCTGTTCTCGAACTTCTGACCTCAGATATTCCACCTGCCTTGGCCTCCCAAAGTGCTGGGATTACAGGTGGTGAGCCACCGCACCTGGCTTATCTTGAGTCTTATAACTAAAGTAGGGCCAAAGCCGGTTGGGATAATTTAGAATTTTTGCTTCATGTGGCTGGGGCTGTTCTCAGCCTTGGAGGACTCCTTCCAAAGCAGGGCCAGGGAGTGGTCTTCCAGCAATAGTCCTGATGGGCAGGTCTGCCTGGGAGGGTGCACCTCAGCCACAGCTGGCGGGACGTTTGTTTACTTGCTGTGACTACAGCCAGGGCCTATTTCTGGATCAGAGACTGGATTCATGCCTGTGTAACTCCAGCTCTGATCTCGTCTGGCGCTGGGTGATGAGCACGTGTATGTGCCGGGAGAGAACAGTGGCAGTCACTTAGGTTATCTGCCTGGCTGCAGCCCAGCCTTCTCTGGGTGTACCAAATTATTACAGCTTGGCCCCTGTTGATTACCCTCCCCTGGCTCTAAGGCTTAGCACTAAATATTGCTCCATTTGCTCTAACTTGCTGCCTGTTTCACTAAGGAGGAGGAAGGAAGAAAGCTAGGGGTGATAAGTAAGACTCTACCAACTTATAAATCTTACTAAGTTGAGAAAGCCCTAACTGGAGTTCCTTAGAGTTTTCAGGGTCAAAGGAAACAGATCAGCATTTTGGGCCAAAACTATTTTTTCCTATGGTTAGTCCAGTCACTAAAAAGGAACTGGAACATAAAGAGGTCACTTGACTTATTTATGACCATTCAGGAAGCCACAAGACAGATAAAGACGGCACCCAAGATTCTCAGTTTCAAATTTAGTGCCACTTCACTCGCCTAAGATAAATCTATATTAACAAGTTAGCTTTGGGATCCAAGGTCAAATATGGTTTTGATAAAGGGAGCTTCACCTTCTTTTAGAGCCATTGTTTAAGCTGTCACCTCTAAATCAATTAGGAAACTACAGTTACAAGGGGCGCAGTGGCTCACACCTGTAATCCCAGCACTTTGGGAGGCTGAGGAAGGTGGATCACCAGATCAGGAGATCTAGACCATCCTGGCTAACACGATGAAACCCCGTCTCTACTGAAAATACAAAAACCATAAGCTGGGGGTGATGGCATGCGCCTGTAGTCCCAGCTACTCAGGAGGCGGAGGCAGGAGAACTACTTGAACCTGGGAGGCAGAGGTTGCAGTGAGCCGAGATCACGCCACTGCAATCCAGTGCCTGGGCTACAGACCGAGACTCTGTCTCCAAAAAAAAAAAAAGAAACTATAGTTATAATTCACTGGGTTCCGTGGAGTGGTGCCTCTATTGCACAGCTCCTCTCACACCTTACCCAGGTTTACACATAGGCTAGAAACCGCTCAGTCTTACAACTCCATTTCAGTTCCTCTAAAGCAATTCTCCACCTCTCATATTCCAGTTTCTGTTTCTGAGGTAGAAAATGGGAAGTAGGGCCGGGCACAGTGGCTCACGCCTGTAATCCCAGCACTTTGGGAGGCTGAGGCGGGTGAATCACCTGAGGTCAGGAGTTCGAGACCAGCCTGATCAATATGGTAAAACCCCGTCTTTAAAAAGAAAAAAAAAAAGAAAATGGGAAGTAGGGAAAAGGAAAGCTAGAATCTTGCCTGAATGACAGAAACTCTATTTTCGGGTCCAGAAACATTCTCTTACTGTCTCATAATCTGCACTTTGGGAGAGTGTTTTGGGACTTCATTGCTTTTTTTTTTTATTTAAATTATTGTTTCTGAGGAAGAATAATTTTTGTTTATCATGCAAGGAGAAGAAAAATTTTAGTTTTTCTTTCTTTAAAAAATCTATCCTGAGCCAGGTGCAGTGGTTCACGCCTGTAATCCCAGCACTCTGGGAGGCCGAGGAAGCTGGATCACCTGAGGTCAGAAGTTCAAGGACAGCCTGACCAACGTGGTGAAACCTCGTCTCTACTAAAAACACAAAAAATTAGCCGGGTATGGTAGCACACCTGTAATCCCAGCTACTTGGGAGGCTGAGGCAGGAGAATCACTTGAACCCAGGAGGTAGAGGTTGTAGTGAGCTGCGATTATGCCATAGCACTCCAGCCTGGGTGACAAGAGCAAAAATAAGCCCTCACACACACACACAAAAATCTATCCTGAAAGCCATCAGATGGCCCTGGAGAGGAGTGAGGCCTGGCATCTGAATTCCAGGTGGAAACGGCAGCCTGCAAGTCTGGACCAGGGCTGGATGACCAACATTACTCTGGCTTCCTCTATGTGCCAAGGGGCTACAGAGAGTCACTCTCTGTGTCACATGTATCCTTCTAATAAAAAGCAGTAGGAGGCCGGGGGCAGTGGCTGTAATCCCAGCACTTTGGGAGGCCGAGGTGGGCAGATCATGAGGTCAGGATATCAAGACCATCCTAGCCAACGTGGTGAAACCCTGTCTCTACTAAAAATGCAAAAAAATTAGCTGGGCATGGTGGAACACACCTGTAGTCCCAGCTACTTGGGAGGCTGAAGCAGGATAATTGCCTGAACCCAGGAGGCAGAGATTTCAGTGAGCCGAGATTGCACCACTGCACTATAGCCTGGGTGACAGTGTGAAACTCTGTTTAAAAAAAAAAAAGCAGTAGGAATAAAGCTACTAAATCTACTAATAAAGGTGTTAACTCAGCCAGGGCAACATGGGGAAATCCCATCTCTACAAAAAATATAAAACATTAGCCAGGCATGGCGGTATGCACCTGTAGTCTCCCAGATACGCAGCAGCCTGAGGTAGGATCACTTGAGCCCAGGAGGTCAAAACTGTGGTGAGCTGAGACAATGCCACTGCCCTTCAGCCTGTTCAACAGAGTGAGACCCTGTCTCAAAAAAAAATTAACCATTAGTCAATGAATAGAGAGGAAAGAGCCAGGCATGGTGGCTTGAACCTTCAATCCCAGCACTTTGGAAGGCCACGGTGGGAGGATAGCTTGAGCCCAGAGGTTCAAGACTAACCTGGACAAAATAATGGGGCCCTGTCTCTACAAAAAAAATTTTTTTAATTAACCAGGCATGATGGCACACGCCTATAGTCGTACCTACTCAGGAGAAGCTGAGGCAGAAAGGATTGAGCCTGGGAGGTTGAGGCTGTAGTGAGCCATGATTGTCACTGCATTCCAACTTGGGTGACAGAGTGAGGAGACCTTTGTCTCAAAAAAAAAAAAAAAAAAAGGAAAGTATATCTGAATATTACAATTAAAATATTCATATCACTAAGCAAGTATATGGAACCACCTAGTTGGTTCCTGTGCTTTTGGGCAAGGAAAATACTTGATTTAGAAATGAGCAAACAGTAGTGGGGTGTGGTGGCTTGCACCTGTAATTCTTCCAACTACTTGGGAGGCTGAGGCAGGAGGATCACCTGAGCTTAGGAGTTTGAGGTTACAGTGAACTAGATGATTGTACCACTGCACTCCAGCCTGGGCAACAAAGTGAAACCCTGACTCCAAAAAAAAAAAAAAAAAGAGCAAATGTTTTCAGAAGATTTATTTATTTATTTTATTTTTTCTTTTAGCTCCTCTCTGGATCAGATTTTTATAGCCACCCTACTGATCATTAGGGATTTGTAAACTATTACCCAGAAAGAAGGTCCGTGGAGCTAAGGCCTCAGAATCCTACCCTCAGAACACCAAAGTCTGGACTGTCAGAGGACACATGCTAGTAACAGGAGGCTGGCAAAGGTGGCCAGCTCCCATGCCTTGACATGCATGTGTTTTTACCTCCCGCTGCCTGGGAGCATCCCTCTGGGAGGAGTCGTGTTAAGAGCACCACAGACACTGCTATTCCATGGAGAAAAGTTTTACATTGACAACACATACTGAACATGAACAAAATAAACAGGGAGGGAAGCTCGGGCTCAGCCAGGAAAGCTGCCACAAGGAAGACATTTGGAACTATCCAGGGGTAGTGTCAAACACTAACACCATATTTACAAGTCTAATTTGGAACCTGGCCCTTTTTATTTTTTTGAGACAGAGTCTTGTTCTGTTGCCAGGCGCCAGGCTGTAGTGCAGTGGCGCAATCTCAGCTCACTGCAACCTCTGCCCCCTGGGTTCAAGCAATTCTCCTGCCTCAGCCGCCTGAGTAGCTAGGAAGGACTACAGGCGCACCGCACGCCACCACGCCCAGCTAATTTTTGTATTTTTTAGTAGAGACGGGGTTTCACCACATTGGCCAGGATGGTCTTGATCTCTTGATCTCTTGCTGATGGCTACCTTATCTGGCTGGAGCCACTTCTTGAAACGTTCCAAGGTGCTGAAAGGGCACCTTGATCTGCCCGCCTTGGCCTCCCAAAGTGCTGGGATTACAGGTGTGAGCCACTGCACCCAGCCAGAACCTGGCCCTTTTTAAGTGCAGGAGGAAGTTGGAAGAGAAGCCATGCATGAAATAAAAAAATATTCACACAGACATAAACACCCACATTTTCACACTTCTTTTGCTCGTTTTCTCCATGAGGAACAAATGAGAGAAAGAAGCCCAGCCTCTCTCCCTGGAGTCCCTATACTTACTACACATTTGTTAGAGAAGCACCAGATGGGGCTTGGATTCAAGAAGCAGACTTCACTCTTCCTGGCCCCACTCACCCCTGACAGTTCACCAGGGAATGCTTGGGACACAGGCAATAATGTCCAGAAGAGGCAAGAAAAAATATGGCTCACTTAACTTACACATTACACATGAGGGGCCTCAGTTTCTCCAAGTACTTTCACATTCAATCCTTAGCAAGCTTCTAACCTGCAGTGACAGAGCTCAGCCAAGCTGTGAGACACAGAGGAAAATAGCATTTTGATCCAGCGCGCACTGGGTCAGTCACTTCATCCAAGACAGTCACACATGCCAGCCCCAAGTAAATCCCCAGGGGCTTCCATTATTTGTGGAATGGAAACTTGGTATTTTTCTCTCAGTGGATTTCTCCCTGTTTCTGCTGCCAATCTCCACGCTGCTCCCTCTGGACCTGAGACAGCTGCTCGGCATGGGTGTGTGTGTGTGTAATTTACTGTTCTGCTGCTGCTGGCTTGTCCCCAGCTTCTGGCTTGTCCTCAGCCACTGGCTTCTCAACCTGTGACTCTGGAGGAATCAGATACTGGACCTCTTCTGTGCTGATGGCTACTTTATCTGGCTGGAGCCACCTCTTGAAATGTTCCAAGGTGCTGAAAGGGCAGAAGAAAAGGGTGGTAGTGTCAGACCTCACTGATTAATTACTTAGTGATTATCTCAGTTACTCAAACACTACCTTCCCACCAACTACCAATTTCTTCCTACAGTGGTTTTTTACTGCTAACTTGGGGAGTAGAAGGATATTCCTCTGGTAGCTGTGCACCCTGGCAGCTCTGCACATAATTTACCCCATACTGGGCACTTTGGCTACCGGCAGCACCAGGTAGCACCCCTTAAAATGCAAAGCCTCTGAAGGCTTGATGAGAACAGCTAAAGAGTTTATGCCTCAGTCCTAAAGACCTAAAGATAGGTCTTTTTTCACTCAAAACAGGAGAGGAGAGAAATTGTGAAGGAAAAGAAACACTCAGATAAATACCAAATTATGGCCAGGCACAGTGGCTCATGCCTGTAATCCCAGCACTTTGTGAGGCTGAGGCAGGCAGATCACCTGAGGTCAGGAGTTTGAGACCAACCTGACCAACATGGTGAAACCCTGTCTCTACTAAAAAATACAAAAATTAGCTGGGCGTAGTGGTGCGCGCCTGGAATCCCAGCTACTCAGGAGGCTGAGCAGGAAAATTGCTTGAACCCAGGAGGTGGAGGTTGCAGGAAGCTGAGATCACACCATTGCGCTGCAGCCCGGGTGACAAAGCAAGATTCTGTTGCATAAATAAATAAATACCAAATTATTACTGAGGCAGAAATCTGAGCATCTTTTGCTTCTTATAGCTGAGGCAATCTGGGACTCCATTATACTTATACCACTTTTTTGTGGGTTTATTTTGTTTATTTCATCCTATAGCAAGTCCCTAAGATAAAAACATCTGAGCAGCAAATATCCCCCACAAGGGAATGACTACTATGCCAGAGGCCTCTCTTTTTGTCTGGATCTGTAGAGAGAGGGGAGATGTAATTGTCAAGCTCAAGGTCCCCTACCCACCTTCCTTACAGGACCATATGCCCTAAAGCTATTAGTCACAGTAAAATATAAGTGACTAGAAATAATGTCAACCTTATTCTATGTTCCTCAATAGCACAGAGTCTTAAGAAAGAATACCATAACAGCTGATTTTAGAATCTCTGAATGTATAGGGGAATTATGTTTTGGACAGTTGGATTTCCCAGCCCATTACTCCCTTGCCAAAAGCACACCGCAGGGAGGGTCATGTACCTGGCCCTCACATACCTGAAGACCTATACAACCCCGTTGCAAAATGGCCTCTGCTTAAAAGATAAATTTTGAAGTCTGAAAACAAATGCACAGCTAGTGTTTCCTGGTGTTTGTTCTGAACAATGATAGAAACATTCCCACAGATGTAGGCTCTGGGGAAAAATCCAAATGTGAGAGGGCAATGAGAGCAGCTGATTGACTCTAGTGCCCACAGCTCAGGGGAATCAGGTGTGACAGAGCATTTCATCTTCATTTACCACACTTTTCATAGAATTGTTCAAATTATTTCCATAGAGAAGGAAAAAAACACATTATTTTACATATTGATAAATCCACAGGAACATGCTGATCTGATTTCAGGGAAAGGATTTCTACTTGAGAATGACACAGGAGAAGTTCTGTCTTTTCTTCTCAGAGCTGTAGAGGAGGGAATTATTCAGCGGGAGAGAGAATATAAGTAAATACCAAATTATCAGTGGGTCAGGAGTCTGCATCTTCAAATCTCCCATGTTTGGAGCAATTTAAGACTTAATTAGGTTGGACCTTTAAAGATAGAAAAGAGCAAAATGGATATGATTTCCTGAACCCTCAGAGGGTAGTTGGCCTGAACTTAGATGCTATGCTGATTTCTGAAGCATCTATAGGCATGCTGATTCAGCATTTGAGATAATGTAAGTGCAAGTATTTTGCAAATTGTAAGTAAATGTGCCTATGAAGTTTTGTTCACATACTGTCCTGATTTCAGCAGCATTACTTCCTCTGACATGATGGGACTCTCAACACCAATCTACCAATCTCCATATGTTACAAACTCAAGTTAAATCACATTTTCCTAAGACCTTTTGTTAACATTCAATTTTTTACTCCTCCATTGATTTTTATTTTGAATAATTTCTTATAAAACTCTAAAATTCTGTTGGGAAGAATAATGTCAGTAATAGTCAACACTTCTGTAGTGCTTACCTTGTGCTAGGCATTATTCCCTTTACAAATAGTAACTCATTTAACCTTCGTAACAACTTATGAGGTAAGAGCTGATTGCTCCCATTTCACAGATCAGGAAACTAATGCACACACAGGTTACTTACCCAAGAACATACAACCAGTAAGTGGCAGAGCCGATTTCCTGAGGGTCAAGCCCCTTTCCTGTGTACTGTGCCAGCAGGCTCTCTCTATCCTTCTGCATCTAAACCACCTGCAGATACTGTTCAAGTCCTGCCTCCCTCTATGGCAAAACACCAAAGCCAGGAGGGAGCTCAGTGGTCTTTCAATTCCCAAAGCATGTTCTGTCACTTCTCAACTGGCCTTCTCTTATTGCTGCCTGGTATTGTTAGGTATCTCTTCATATATATTTGTCAACTGCCCGCAAGTAGTTCTGAGGACAAAACCAAATGGGTCTAAAACTTCCTTATACCATTCCCTCCCTGATGCCCCAAGCACAGTGCTATCACACAGTGGACGCTTCATAAATTCATCATTTAGTCTACATAAATTCATTGAGTGAAGGCCGGGCGCGGTGGCTCAAGCCTGTAATCCCAGCACTTTGGGAGGCCGAGGCGGGTGGATCACGAGGTCAAGAGATCGAGACCATCCTGGTCAACATGGTGAAACCCCATCTCTACTAAAAAAAATACAAAAGATTAGCTGGGCATAGTGGCGCGTGCCTGTAATCCCAGCTATTCAGGAGGCTGAGGCAGGAGAATTGCCTGAACCCAGGAGGCGGAGGTTGCAGTGAGCTGAGATCGCGCCATTGCACTCCAGCTTGGGAACAAGAGTGAAACTCCGTCTCAAAAAAAAAAACAAAAAAAAAAAACATAAATTCATTGAGTGGCTACAATTCGACAACAATTCTGTAAGCCAGGCTGCGCACAATGGCCCACGCCTGAAATCCCAGCACTTTGGGAGGCCGAAGTGGGCAGATCACCTGAGGTCAGAAGTTCAAGACCAACCTGGCCAACATGGTAAAACCCCATCTCTACTAAAAATACAAAAAGTAGCTGGATGTGGTGGCGCACTCCTGTAGTCCCAGCTACTTGGGAAGCTGAGGCACAAAAATCACTGGAACCCAGAAGGCAAAGATTGCAGTCAGCTGAGATCGTGCCACTGCAGTCCAGCCTGGGCAACAGAGTGAGATTCCATCTCAAAAAAAAAAAACAAAAAACAAACAAAAAATCTGTAAGGTGGTGGAAATTCAGAGGTAAGAAGAGATAAAGAGATAGTTCCAGAAAATAATCTGAGGAGCAAATGGTTTTTTCTTTTGTTACAGTGACATGGTTTCCAAACCTCATGAGAAAGAATTCGGCTGGGTGTGGTGGCTCACGCCTGTAATCCCAGCACTTTGGGAGGCCGAGATGGGCAGATCACCTGAGGTCAGAAGTTCAAGACCAGTCTGGCCAACATGGTAAAACCCTGTCTCTAAAAAAAAAAAAAGAGAGAGAGAGAAAAAATTCAAGAAAATAAGAGAGATTGATTGATTACTACTTTCTCAAGTGCATCGTATACTTAAAAATGACCACAGGCCAGGCGTGGTGGCTCAAGCCTGTAATCCCAGCACTTTGGGAGGCCGAGGCAGGTGGATCACGAGGTCAAGAGATCGAGACCATCCTGGTCAACATGGTGAAACCCCGTCTCTACTCAAAATACAAAAAAAAATTAGCTGGGCATGGTGGTGCGTGCCTGTAGTCCCAGCTACTCGGGAGGCTGAGGCAGGAGAATTGCCTGAACCCAGGAGGCGGAGGTTGCAGTGAGCCGAGATTGCGCCATTGCACTCCAGCCTGGGTAACAAAAACTCCGTCTCAAAAAAAAATAAAATAAAACAAATGACCACAATGGTTTATCCTTAACTCTATTCAATCTGTGACCAACATGTAGCTACAGCATTTGCCTTTTGGCAAAAAAGTCTGTTCTTAAAAATCCACTGCTGCGCTAAAAACAAATAGAGCAACTGCATAAAGTATGATTTCAGCTGGAACTAGCCTGGGAATCTATTACCTCTCATCAGAATCAAGTCCATCCACAAAGAACTCTGAGGCTAACTTCTCCTGGAGGAACCGATCCCAGCATTCCTTCTTGGCTTGGGCCAGGGTTCGAAGCATGTCCTTAGAAGTCACTTCCTGATTTAAACCTTTGATTCTTCTTAGCTTTTTCTCTAGAGAGAGAAGTAGGGCTTAATAAGGAAAGTGAGTATGAGATGAAATTTTAACTAAATCTAAAACTGAAAATACCAACTTAAAAATTCTCTCACTGATTAGGACATCCACATTCCCTGCAAAAGAGTTCATTTTTTAAGAACATTATTCTTCTTCCCTTTACAAAGTCCTCACTTTGCATTGTATCAAATAATGTTTAACCCCAGAAAAGGGAAAAGCCATAGGTTCTCATAAATAAATCAATGACATGTTTTCTTTGAAATCACATAAGCCCAGCAGGTATCTCTCTGAGGAATGCTTGCTTTCCCTGGTTTGACATATGTACACTACTGTCTTTTTCAACTCCTTGAAAATAATCTCTCTGAGGAGTAAGTGGTTTTTCTTTTTGTTACAGTAACATGAAGTGGTTTCCAAATGTCATGAGAAAGAATTAGAGAAAATGATGAAAGAAATATATGTGTGAGGCCGGGCGTGATGGCTCATGCCTGTAATCCCAGCACTTTGGGAGGCCGAGGCGGGTGGATCATGAGGTCAAGAGATTGAGACCATCCTGGTCAACATGGTGAAACCCCATCTCTACTAAAAATACAAAAAATTAGCTGGGCATGGTGGCACATGCCTGTAATCCCAGCTACTCGGGAGGCTGAGGCAGGAGAATTGCCTGAACCCAGGAGGCAGAGGTTGTGGTGAGCCGAGATCGCGCCATTGCACTTCAGCCTGGGTAACAAGAGCGAAACTCCGTCTCAAAAAAAGAGTTATGCATAGCATACATTTAAGTCAGATTTTAATTACTGCTCTTATCAGTGGATTCTCTTTGATACAGGTTATTTAGCAACAAAAACTTCATATTGTCTGGCCTCAGTTGTCAAGGTGGAAGGTACTCTTTTGGGCTGGAAAAGATCTTCTCCTCTCTAAGTATGCTGAGTCCCTGATCAGGTGTGATTTCAATAGGGCAAGCAGAGATGGGCGTTAACACGTACCTGTCTGCCACTGTCTCCCAGTTCATGCCATAGGCAATAGAAATGACTCTTATTTCCTTCAAGATGAAAACTTCTTAACTGACTTTAGGAAAGATCAGTTAACTTTCCAAGCCAGTCTTCACTCATGAAAATCATCACTGTCTTCATTAAATTTTTCTTTCTTCTTTCTTTTCTTGTTTTCTTTTCCTTTTTTTTGAGACAGAGTTTCACTCTGTGTCACAAGCTAGGGTGCAGTGGCACGATCTCGGCTCACTGCATCCTCCGCCTCCTGGGTTCAAGTGATTCTCCTGCCTCAGCCTCCCAAGTAGCTTGGATTACAGGTGTATACCACCACAGCTGGCTAATTTTTGTATTTTTAGTAGCGACAGGGTTTTGCCATGTTGGCCAGGATTATCTTGAACTCCTGACCTCATGTGATCTGTCCACCTTGGCCTTCCAAAGTGCTCTCTCTCTTTCCTTCTCTTCCTCTCTCTCTTTTTCTTTTTCTTTTCTTTTCTTTTTTTGAGTTTAAATGCATTTTATTTTTAGAGAACCTACATGACATGTTTTTCTTTTTTTTTTTTTTTTTTTTTTTAATTTTTTATTGGATTATAGGTTTTGGGGTACATGAGCAGAGCATGCAAGACAGTTGCGTAGGTACACACATGGCAGTGTGCTTTGCTTTTCTTCTCCCCTTCACCCACATTTGGCATTTCTCCCCAGGCTATCCCTCCCCACCTCCCCCGACATGTTTTTCTTAAAAACAATGCCTCCACTCCAAATAAATCACGGTCAAAATAAATGAAGAGCTCAAGATCACATCAATCCCATTTGTCTTAAGTCCTGGTGTGTGGATGACAAGCAGAAGCCAGTTATGACGACAGGCGATAGATCCAAAGTAATTGCCATACTTGTTAACATTTTTCCATTTCTAAACCATCCTTAAAGAAAATCATATATGGGGTCACACCATCCTCACAGTAGTCCAATAGAGCAACCATGCCATCTGGATTCATGTTTTCACCAATAAAGAACTGGTAGTTTTTGAAATTAGCAAGGATGTGCTTGATTTGTTCGGCAGCCCCCGTCATAAAAGGTTTTACTCTTTCTGGTCTCTGTTCTTCAAGTTTGCCTTTGATTGATTTCATGTAATCTTTGATGTACTTCTTGTAGGCTTCTTTTGTGAAACTTGTTTCCTGCAGGTGATGGTTCATGACAATATCGACACCAGTGACTACTGTGCTTTCAGTACCTTCGCCCTCGGGGCCTTCGGCGGAGGCATTTCCACCAATGAGCGAGTCATCAATGTTACCTTCTGTCCTACTGACCATCTTCCCCTCCACCTCCAGGCACAGCCCGTCCGCGATCTCCCGGGTCTTGTAGATGTCAGAGAACATCTCATCGTGGCTGATGAGATCCCGGTAGATAATCATGATGGGGGCTGACAGGAGAGGACGGCGGCGCTAGCTTAGCAGGAGCCCAACACTCGGAACCAGCGCTGTGCAGCCGAAGCGGCGCTAGGCGGGAGGGGGGAACGGGCGGAAAAGCTCTTTTTTTTTTTTTGAGATGGAATCTTGCATTGTCACCTGGGCTGGAGTGCAATGGTGCGATCTTGGCTCACTGTAACCTCTGCCTCCCAGGTTCAAGTGATTCTCCTTGCCTCAGCTTCCTAAGTAGCTGGGATTACAGGCACCCATCACAACACCTGGCTAATTTTTTTTTTGGTATTTTTTACTGTAGATGGGGTTTCACCATACTGGCCATGCTAGTCTCAAACTCCTGACCTTGTGATCTGCCTGCCTCAGCCTCCCAAAGTGCTGGGATTACAGATGTGAGCCACCACGCCTGCCTCTCTCTCTTTTTCAACATGGTCTTGCTCTGTCACCCAAGCTGGAGTGCAATGGCATGATTACAGCTAATTGTAACCTCAAACAACTGCTGGGCTCAAGCAGTCCTCCCACCTCAGCCCCCTGAGTAGCTGGGATTATAGGCATCCACCACTTCAGGCTAATTTAAAAAAATATTTTTATAAAGACAAGTCTCGCTATGTTGCCCAGGCTGGTCTCAAACTCTTGGCCTACATGTGATCCTCCCACGTCAGCCTCTCAGAGTGATGGGATTATAGGTTATGAGCCACCATGCCTGACTTTCATGAACGTTTCTTAGAAGCCCTGAGCATAGAAAACCAACAAGCCAAGGATCTGGTTGTTCAGCTTTCTCAGACTGTTGCTTCTTCTCTTTATCATCATTAAACAGATGATCTTGCTACCACATAGAGAATTTTCATCCCCTAGGCCATGGCTGCAAGCATTACTGTCCTATCCTTGGTGGCTTCCTGGCAAATTTCACATTACTTACTATCTTTCTATCATTCCACCTATGTTTATCTCATATCTTTCTCCTCCAGTATATCATTAACAAAATCCCTTCTGTTTTCCCAAGATATTTCTTAGCTATCATGCAAGCTCTCTTCTGACTCCTCTTTCTGTCTTCCCTCAGAAGTTCCTTCTACCTGAATTGCCTTTCCTTCCTCAAATAATTCTTCCCAGGTTTGCAGCTGATCTTTGACAAAGCATACGACAACATAAATTGGGGAAAGGACACCCTATTTAACAAATGACTCTGGAAAAACTGGCCAGCCACATGTAAAAGAATAAAACTAGATCCCTATCTCTCATACAAAAATCAACTCAAGATGGATATAAAACTTGAAATCTTCAAAATTAGAAAACTCTTCCAGACATTGGCCTAGGCAAAGAATTTATGACAAAGATCCCAAAAGTAAATGCAACAAAAACAAAACAAAAATAAATAAATGGGACCTATTAAACTAAAAAGCTTCTGCACAGCAAAAGAAATAATCATCAGAGCAAACAGACAACCCTCAGAATAGGAGAAAGTATTTGCAAACTATGTATCTAACAAAGGACTAATATCCAGAATCTACAAGGAGCTCAAACAAATCAGAAAGAAAAAAACAAATAATCTCAACAAAAAGTGGGCAAATGACAGAGCAAGACCATAGACATTTCTCAATGGGATTTGAGAAGATATGCAAATGGTTAACAAACCTATAAAAAAATGTTCAACATCACTAATCATCAGGGAAATGCAAGTCAAAACCAGAAGATACCATGTTAACCAGAATGGCCACTATCAAAAAGTTAAAAAACAATAGATGTTGGCATGCATGTGGTACAATGATATTGCTTATACACTGCTGATGCGAATGTAAATCAGTACAACCTCTATGGAAAACATAGGGAGATTTCTCAAAGAACTAAGAGTAGATCTACCATTTGATCAGCAATGTTTACCCAAAGGAAAAGAAGTCATTATATCAAAAAGATACCTGCACGCATGTTTCACAATTCACAATTGCAAAATATAAAACCAATCTAAATGCCCATCAAGCGATGAGTGTTTAAAGAAAATGTGGAATATATATACCATGGAACACTACTCAGCCATAAGAAAGAATAAAATAATGTCTTTTGAAGCAAATTAGATGGAACTGGAGGTCATTATCCTCTAAGTGAAGTAACTCAGGAATGGAAAACCAAATGCTCTATGTTCTCACTTATAAGTGGGAACTAAGCTACAGGTACATACACAAAAGTATACAAAGTGGTATAATGGACTTTGGACATTCAGAGTGGGGAGGTTCTGAAGTGGGGAGGAAACCAAGTTTGATGTAACAGAACTTCAATATGCTTCCCTAGAGCCATCAAACTTACCTAGAGATGCTAAATACACTTCTGAATCCTGCAAGGGAGCCCAAGGTTTTACAGCAGTCTGAGCAGCAAAGTTGGCCACCTCCCTCTGGCATTCACCTTCAGGGCAAGAATCCACAAAGGAGTCGGAGAAGGCATTGTTGGCACCATCATCTTGGTCAGGATTTGGCAGACAGGAACAAATTTCAGCCCAGAGATCCTGGCCAGTTCTTGTGGCTGTAGAGTCAGCACTTTCAAACATTTTCATTTGGAATCTAAGCTATAAAACAGAAACTCAAGTGAGTAAGAACTGGCTTTAAGAATACAGCATAGGCCGGGCGCGGTGGCTCATGCCCCTAATCACAGCACTTTGGGAGGCCAAGGTGGGCAGATCACGAGGTCAAGAGATCGAGACCATCCTGGCCAACATGGTAAAACCCCATCTCTACTAAAAATACAAAAATGAGCCGGGCCTGGTGGCACGCACCTGTGGTCCCAGCTTCTCAGGATGCTGAGGCAGAAGAAACGCTTGAACCCAGGAGGCGGAAGTTGCAGTGAGCCGAGATTGCACCACTGCACTCCAGCCTGGCGACAGAGCAAGGCACTGTCTCGGAAAAAAAAAAAAAAAGGCTGGGCGCCGTGGCTCACGCATGTAATCCCAGCACTCTGGGAGGCCGAGGCGGGTGGATCACGAGGTCAAGAGATTGAGATCATCTCTACTAAAAAAAATTAGCTGGGCATGGTGGTGCGCACCTGTAGTCCCAGCTACTCGGGAGCCTGAGGCAGGAGAATCGCTTGAACCCAGGAGGCGGAGGTTGCAGTGAGCCGAGATCGTGCCATTGCACTCCAGTCTGGGTAACAAGAGCAAAACTCCATCTCAAAAAATAAATAAATAAAATTATAATAATAATACAGCATAAAACAGGGAGAGATGAGTGTAAAAAATAAAAAATAATACAGCATAAGGTTGGGCATGGTATAATCTCAGCCCATAATCCCAGCACAGCACTTTGGGAAGCCAAGGTGGGCAGATCACCAGAGGCCAGTTGTTCGAGACCACCCTGGGAAACATTGCAAAATCCCTAAGTAGTCAAATTCATAGATACACAAAGGACAGTGGAAGCTGGGAGGCAGAAAGAATGGAGAGTTATTGTTGAAGGGGTACAGGATTTCAGTTTGGGAAAATGAAGAAGTTCTAGAGATGGATGGTGGTTATGGTTGTACAACAATGTGAACATCACTGCATCATACACACAAAAATAGTTTAAATGGTCAATTTTATGCTACATATATTTTACCACACACACACACACACACACCCCTAGGGCATTTCCAGTGTGGACAACCAGCCTGCACTTTTCTCTAAAAATCTCCAAAATGCAACAGTTCTATCCCCAGTCAATTAAATTCTGTTTTCAACAGAACACAAATTAAAGGTCTTTCACAGTTCCACATACGTGAATATCCTGCTTGGTAAAAAGTGTCACAGAGCACTGTCACAATGCAAGGGCTATGTGCTCAGCGCATGCAGTTCAGCCATATGCCTCATGTTCTTATTTTAATACAAACACTGAAAGATATTTTCATCATGTTACAGATGAAAAAATAAGGCTCAGAAGGGCGACTGCCCCAGGGCATATTACTGATATGTGGGGAATCCTTGACTGGAACCAGATCTGTGCTGCTCCAGAATCCATGTTTTTTTTAAATTATATCAGCAACTGCATCTGCATAGCATCCATGTTTTTATCAAATACCATCCTGCCTGTTTGGAAAACATAAAGAAAGCAGCCCAAGCAAGGGCAGGTAGGAAAAGCTACGCAAAGAGCCTGGAGGCTTTTGAGGGGACTTAGAGATCTGGAAGGCTGCCTGAGGCAAGGTCTGAATAAGGCCAAGGGACGGAGCCCAGCCAGCGTAAAGGCCCGGAAGTAAAAGGGCCAGATATGCCACAGCGGTCCTGGGTGAATTGATGTCTAGGGCGCCAGTGAACACCCACCCAAAATCGTCTCAAGCCACCCAAAACCAAGACTGCTCACACCAGAGCCCCGCATGCCCCCATACCCCAGCGCAGGGCGTCCAGAACCGCGCAGGAAATTCCGGCGTTCAGACCCCAGGCCTCAGTCGCTCAGATCTCTAGGACTGTCTGGATGGGATGAATCGGGTCCCAAGGCTTCTATGTGGTATTTCGGGGCCGGGCCAGAGTAGGAGATCCAAAACGCTAGGCACCTCAAGCCCAACTCACTCACCACAACAGCTGCCCAGCGAACGCTCGGCTCAGCTCAGTCGCCAGCAGTTCAGAGGAAATTGGGAGGGGCGGAGTCTCCGAGTGACGGAGCCTAGGAGTCCTCCAACTACCTTCCTACCCGACGATGTTCTGTGCGTCGATTGGTCAAGAGGAGCTCGGCGGGTGAAGAAGTGCAGAGCCGCGAGCGGTGGGCGGGGCTCTGGTTGCCCGGAAACGGATTGCCCCTCCCGAGGACCGAGTTGATTCCTTGTAGATCCAAGGTTCCAGCCCCCGCTTGAATAGGGAAGACCAATTTCCAAGATTTTTGACTTCCTGGTCTCCGGAGCCAGTTCACCTCCTTCACAATTATCTCTGCCTGTGTTTGTCTTCCAAAAATTTCACCCCTTCGTTACCCAAGTTAGAGCACTTACGTGGCTTCTTTCCTTACTCTGAGGAGACCCCTGTCTCATCAAATTACGAAGCTTTTCTTCATTCATTTAGTCAATTGACAGCAAACTCCTGCTGTGTTCTAAGCATCGTGTCCATGACGGTTCTAAGCATATGTGTCCATAAGCAAGACACATATGATGTGGTATACGTCCCGGATATCCTTACAGCTTAGTTGTTTAGAACGGGGGTCCGCCATGGAGGCATAAAAGTTTACAAATAACAGTAAAGAGTTACAGACGGCTGGGCGCAATGACTCACGCCTGTAACCCTAGTACTCTGGGAGGGCGAAGCAGGTGGATTACCTGAGATCAAGAGTTCGAGACCAGCCCGGCCAACATGGTGAAACCCCATCTCTACTAAAAATACAAAAATTAGCTGGGCGTGCTGGTGCATGACTATAATCCCTGCTACTCAAGAGACTGACGCAGGAGAATCTCTTGAACACAGGAGGCGGAGTTGCACCACCGCCCCCGGCCTGTAATCTTAACACTTTGGGAAGCCAAGGTGGGTGAATTATGTGAGCCCATTTCGAGACCATCCTAGGCAATGTGGCAAAATCTCGTCTCTACTAAAAATACAAAAATTTAGCCAGTGTGGTGTTTCATGTCTGTAATCTCAGCTACTAGGGAGGCTGTGGTGGGAGGATCACCTGATTTGAGAAGTTGAGGCTGCAGTGAGCCAAGATCATGCCACTGCACTCCAGCCTGGATGATGGGAGTGAGATCTTGTCTCAAATTTTTTTTAACGTTAATTAATTTAAATTTCATTAGCCACATGTAGCTATTGTACAGCACATAGCTAATGGTGACCCTATTGTGTTTTGTTTGTTTTGTTTTGAGATGAAGTCTTGCTCTGTCACACAGGCTGGAGTACAGTGGTGCAATCTCGGCTCACTGGGACTCCGCCCCCCGGGTTCGAGCGTTTCTCCTGCCTCAGCCTCTTGAGTAGCTGGGACTACAGGTGCATGCCACCATGTGTAGGGCTGAGGGCCTCACAGTGTCGTGGGGTGTCCCTTATGCTGTCCTGAGGCACAGGATCCGAGAAATAAAGAGACAGGACACAGAAGTACAAGGAGAACGCAGATGGGCTCAGGGGGGCCATGTCACCTATAATCGAAGTTAAGCGAGGCCCCAAATGTCCAGAAGCGTCAGTATTTATTGTGTTTAGGTTAGGGAGCAGGGCAGTGAGTGAAGCTATCTTTAAGGATAGTGATAGGGTCATGAGCAATAAAACAAGGGGTCCATTCCTATTAGGTCACCTAGGCTAGGAGGTGGACAGTGCGCACCAGCAAGGGCTTCATTCCCATTAGGTTATCAAGGCAAGGAAGTGGGCCGTGTGCAGTAAGGGGTCCACTCCCATTAGGTCACCGAGGCATGGAGGTGGGCTGTGTGCAGTGAAGAGGGTGCAGTGTGCAATACCTCTATCTATTGACAAGCTACTTTAAAAAAAATTTATAGGAGAAGGCTTTAAGTCACACAGCAATAACAAAGCTGTCAGAGTTACCGCCACCTGCTGGCAGCTTCCAATGAGTTATATAGGAAAATGCTTTTCAAGCAGCACAGTAACAAGAGCTAATTAAAGTTCACGGTCACCAAGGTGCAATTATCCAGAAGGGTTTTAAGCCCTCATATGGTCAAAGGATTGCCGGTCTGAAGGCAGCCTTCCACAAAAACTAGAGCAAGGTCCTACAACTCCTTTACCAGGAGAAGTGGTTCTTGCCCCAAGCCTGCCATACGACGGGTATCTTTACCATACTGAACGCTGTCGCTTGGGCCATAGCTTCTTGTCCTGGTATAACTGTTTTTCTCTTAAATCATGCTCTGCACTGTGTCTGTTCCAGACATTCCTCCAACTATATTAAGTAGTTCACAGAACCTCAAGGTGGGTGGAGAGTCAGGCTTTAGGTCTATACAGCCAGGAAGAGTATCTAAACCTCACTGAGATACTGCGCAGGGAACACCCTATGGCCACTGAACATATATAGCTGGCATTATTTGCTGTGGTCACTGGACATGCGAACCTCCCCTACTGTTGGCCTCCCAGATTTGATGTCTCCAATGCTATCTTGTTAGACATAGATTTCTCACTGGGCCCTCTTCCTCGACTGTGTGCCTCGAACCAAAGTCTGCCTGAGAGATGGAGCCCAGGTCGGATGCCTCTGTCCAAGCTCCAACAGTGTGGGAAGGCTCTAGCTTCCACCTCTAGGCGGCAGTAATGTAATGTGAGAAGTTCTGGTGTTCAGAAGATGCTGTTTATAGAATATGACAAATGTCTACTCTACATGGTCTATGCCAGTGCTTCTCAAACTTTCACATGCAGAAAAATCACCTGGGGACCATGTTAAAGTGCAGATTCTCATTTAGTGGGTCAGAAGGGGAGGGGGAACAAGATTCTGCTGTTTTCTGTCTTCACAGTTTTGCCAGGCACTATGCAAAGTATTTTACTCATTTAATTATCCCACCCCAATCCTATGGAGCAGAGAAGCTAGCTAAGAATAAATATTTTTCTATTGGATAAGGTTCTATTCTCACTGTAAATATCTTAATAAGATGACAGACTTGAGGGATGATGTCTTTCCTGTGAAGTAATTTGGTTCTTATATACCCCACAATCAATGGAAAATTCTACCTCTTATTTCTGGAGGGAGTCAGAATCAGGCTTTTCAGCATATGGAGTTCTGCAGCTGTGAGTACCTCAGCTGCAGCCCCTCAATTAGTTTAGTGAGACTGACCACTTGAAGAAGAAATTTAGCTAAAATAGATGTTCCTTTTTCCTCTCTAGAATACAAATGCATAGGATAAGAATTAGACTGTGTCCAGTTTTTTTGTTGTTTTTTTTTAAACTAACATTGAAATGCCTCCTTATTTGGAGGAATCCCACTCTGGATACTAACGGGGGTTAGAGTCTTGGCCAGGTACTGTGGCTCATGCCTGTTGTAAGGCCGATAGCCTTGCTAAGAGCCGGATGAACAACACCCACCCCTCTTTATGCCTGATAACAGTTTATCAGGCAGAACACATTACTCAGCATCTGGCTCCTCCATGCGGGCTCCTCTCACCCACTTCTGCATTCTGCCCCCAGGTCTATATTCAGCACTAGACTATGCACTCTTAGCACCAAGCTATGCATTTGAACCTCAGCACTAAACTATACATCTTAACCCGCGAAAATTGAAGAAATCCCGCTAAGCCTTACCCAATGGCAGCCCACCCCATGCATCCTAGGCCACCCCCCTCTAACCCCCATAAAACCCCCTGCCCTGAGAAGTCAAGCGCGACTTCTCTGGCCCCCTTTCCTTAGGACCACAGAACCTCGCCCAGGAGATAAATAAATTGGCATCTGATTGTTCTTATACTGGCCTCAGTTTCCTCATTTTAAACTTGGCAGTAACCATTACACCTGTAATCCCAGCACTAATAATACAAAAATTAGCTGGGCGTGGTGGCAAGCACCTGTAATCCCAGCTACTTGGGAGGCTGAGGCAGAAGAATCGCTTGAACCCAGGAGGCAAAGGTTGCAGTGAGCCAAGATCAAGCCACTGCACTCCAGCCTGGGCAAGAGCGAGACTCTGTCTCAAAAAAAAGGAGGGATTAAATTCTTCCCCAGGCACCTGGAAGTGAGGGCTCAGGCCAATGAGGTTTGCCTGATGGAAATCCTCCCCTGCAGGACTCTGAACCTTGGGAGAGGGACACAGAGACACAAGGAGATTTATGGGCCTCCAAGGGGTGGCAGGGCTGCAGGAAAAAGGGTCCTTTGGCACAGCATAGTGTCTGGTGTTTACAGCACCCCAACTGGGTTTCTTCCCTGACATCCCTGAAGCCAGGCTTTCAAAAGACTTGGTTTTCCTTGATTTGGCCCGTTTCTGAGCCTATTCTCCAGCTGTCTTGTGAATTCTATGAGGCACTAATATTCTTTCCATAATTCCCTCTCTGATGAAGTTAGCCAGAATTGGTTTATTTTGCAATTAAGAACCTTGCAATATATCCTCTAATCTATTTGCAATTTTAATCTCAGGATGGAACCATATGTGAGAAGAATGGGGATCTCTAATCCTTCTCATGCTGTTAGGGGGAAACACAGGTGTGAACACATTGCTTCTGGGGTGCTTGTGTGTGTGTTGTAAATACATATATAACAATCTTGTTGAGATATGTCACATACTATAATATTGACACTTTTAAAGTATACAATACGGTGGGTTTTAGTATATTCGCAGAATTTAGCAATCTTTATTCTGGTTGTTAGTTTTTGTTTTGTTTTAAATAAAGCTCCTTTCAAGTGTTTCTCCATACCCAAGGGACTAATCGGAATCTACACGACCAACTGCTGCCATGGCCTTTACACAGAGCAATTCCAAGGGTTTCCTTTATAAATAACGTCGTATCTCCTAATAGGAAGACATCTGCGTAAGATCACTTTTGGTGAGACATTTACAGTCTTATCGCCACTTACTCAATTCACCTAATTCAACTCGAGTAACTCACTCATTCGCTCACTCAACGCAGACGCCTCGGGACTGGACCTCTCTGATTCGCTGGGGCCTAGTGACGTCCTCAGATCGCGACCCCGGAGTTGGGGCAGCGTGGTTATGTGGCTGAGCCGCCGCGGATGGCCCGGGGTTCTGGGACTGTGGAGCTACGACCTCCAGCGCT